AGAGTAGTATTTTAATTTACTTCCACTTTTTGTAATATGGAACCACCTATTAATGGTAGCCAGATTTTGTGTCCCCCCGGCTTCAGTGCCACTACGTATAAATAGACAGTGTAATGTAAAACTAGTAAGAAATACTAACCTTGTAGTATTATGGATTATATTATTTAAATTCAATATGAACAATTGGTACTAACTCCACAATTTATTGCCTTCCTTTTTACCTTTGACAATATCCACAGGGACTACAGCATGGAAAAATGTACAATTTCCAAAAAAAAAAAAAAATGCTAAGTCTGTTTGAACCTTTTGAGCTTTTTGATCCTTTTTTATGTGCCACGACTAGCCTGAATGATTATCTTGACTCACTTTTGATGATGTTTCATAATTGTGTGTGTGGGGATTGGTTATTGATGTGGAATTTATCATCTTCTTATTATACATGTGAACATGCTTATTTGCATTGAATCTGAAACACTATTGTGAGATTGAATTTGTGATATGTTGATGGAAAATGGTTCCGGCGATTGATGTTTAAACTTATGGAAAATGATTCCGGTGATTGATATTTATGCCGATGAAAAATGGTTTCGGTGATTGATATTTATATCGATGAAAAATGAATCCAACGGATGCATGGACTGATATGTCTCTTATGGGTCCTAAGCTTCTAGTCAGAAGTTGTGTAGTGAATGGATGGAAATATAGGTCCTCCATGTGTCCCGGGATACTAGTCAGCGAGTGTGTATCAACAGAACATACATGCTTCATTCTATATGACATTGCATTGCATTGTACTCACACCTCATTGTCATTCTTGTCTTTTATGAGTGAGTTGATATGTTTTCGTGGCTATCTAGATGCGACAGGTTGTGGTGATATTAATTATGGAGACTTTGATATGTGAATAACGATGTATTACTTGTAACGTGTTCTATTACTTGTGAAACTGTTAGGATGGGCTGGTTCTAAATTCTATGCAGATTGTAGTTTGAGGAGGTTCAGAAGGTGTGGCAGGGTCCTTGTGTTCGATATAACTTTACTTAGGGTTAGCTAGGAATGCTTGATGAGTACTGTTATTGGTTGGTACTTACTCCCTTTCTTTCCACACTTGTGTAGGTTACGAGTCTGGATCATCTTGATCATCCTCTCGCATCTTCATTCGAGACTTGCCTTTGGAGTTCGTGACCATCTCAATAGTCATCACATACTTTTGATTATGTCTTTCTATCATACCAGTATTGTAGACTTGTACTTCTTTTGAATCTGTTGTATTATTTAGAGGCTTGTACACGTGACACTAGGTTTTGGGAAAAAGTTGTGTTATATTAAGAGTTTTGCATTATTATGCTATGTTTAGTCCTTGATTGCTTTCTTACTTCTGCAATTGCCCTTGCCAAGGGTTGTTTAAGCTAACATGTATTAGTGGGATAAGCCAGGTGTCATCACACCTGACTTTTCGATTATGACAAGGATGGATTCAAACCCTCCCCTAGGGGCACAAATACCTTCTCTAAGGCCTAGGAATTGAACTACAAAAGTAGAAAATCAAAATGCTCACCTTTAAGAAGATTCTTGATGAAAAAATATTGAAATTTGCCCTAGGTTAACTTTCTACCCCCACCATAATCAATCTAAAAATTCAAACGAGTGTTAGATTGATGGAAGGGTGTAGTATTTCAGTATTTTGATGATTCTCAACAAAAGCTAGTCGGGACTTGGTCCAAGGTAGAATTCGCCCTTGTCCAAGTCTAAATGGTGAACAGCTGTTAAGTTGTCTTGTCAGTGGTTAGGTGAGAAGGACAATGTACTTCTCCAATGATAATGGACAAGGTTGTTTGTTCAACGGATAATACCTCCTTACTTGATTGACATAACATACACAACAAACAACAAAGATTCATTCATTCAAAAAGTGTGATATTTTGTCTTCAAAGAACTCAAGCTTCAACATACACACAACAAGGGACCTAATAGAGCTATCAAGGGCATATGTTAAGTGTTGTTGCTTAAATGCTTGTAATGTGCTGACATTGTAAGATTTTTTTCTCATCTATAAAGAAATGTATCAAGTCTTTCATTTGTGCACGAAATTCAAGAAAAAGTTAGAGCTAATTGTGAGTCTTGTAAGTGAAGTCTATATTAAATAGAGTTAGTTAATATAGTGGGCAATGGAGACATTGTTTTGACTCAGTTAAGTAATAGAATTATTACTTGTAGTGAGATTAAGAGTTTAATCTCGTGTGGTGTATTTGATGTATGTATTCACTTATTGCTTGATATTAGTGAAAACAGTTGAAAATCCTGTGAGTACATGTCGTGGTTTTACTCCCTTGAGCAAGGAGGTTTTCACATAAAAACACCTTGCATGTATTGTTCTTTGTATTTCTTTTACTGCATTCCAATATACCATCGACCTGGTATATAGTACAATGTGAGTAGCACATCTCAACAAAGGACTTACCTTGAAGGAGCAAAATCAATGAAAAATTGAAGAAATCGCCCCTCCTTTGCCCTAGCCTGACCTTGAACAAGTTTTGGGAGTAAAATAACATTTTAGGTTTGAAAATAGGATTTAATTGTGCGCATCCCGCTGTAGTGGTTTGATTTTTGTTATAGTAGCCTCAGCCTTTCAGCACGGACAATCTATGATAAAACGGTCATAACTTTTTAGTCTGAACTCTACATGATACAAACTTGATGGCGTTGGAAAGAAGATTCATACACTTCTAATTTGATAGGTCATGGGCCACCTAATTCATTATAGGCTGAAAGATATGGTTGTTTGAAGTTGACCTTAGTTTAAACTTAAACCCGAAACTAAATCAATAAGGGCACTTTTACTTAACTTTGTGATAAGGGCATTGTACTACCTTAATTCATAGTTAATGCACTCACATACCAAGGAATTGTCCACCGCAGATCAACCATTTGCTTTCTATAAGGAAGTTGACAAGAGGCTCTCTTCATACATGAAGCTCTGTCTAAATACTTTGATTCCCATGGACAACATTATTGACCTTTAATATTATTGATCCATTATATAATAGGGATAAGAGTTTGAAAAATATCTCAACTTTGGTCGGATTTGTTGTTACGATCCTAAACTTTCATAAGGACCTATTACCTGCCTAGACTATTTAATATCGTATTTTTTATCCCCTGAACTATTTAATAGTGTATTTTAAAGGTATATATGTGCCCACATGTACACATTACTATTTATAATTTTGCATTATTTTTTATGTCCACATGGGCAAATATATATGTTTAAAATACAGTATTAAATAGTCTAGGGAGGTAATAGGTCCTCATGAAAGTTTAGTATCGCAACAACAAATCCGACCAAAGTTGGGGTATTTTTCAGACCCTTATCTCTATATAATATATGATTGATTGATATAAGTTGACATTTATGAGTGATTTATATATTAATATTTTTTGAATATATGTGGTTATAAGTATCCAAAATTGATGACATTATAGTAAGTTTTAAAAAACTATTCTCCATAGCATAAAAAATAAAAAAAATAATTATGATAAAAGATTCTTCAGCATTAAAATTTCTTTTTAATAAACTAATATATACTTTTTAGAAAATAATAAGATCATTATTTTAGTTAAATGAGTTTGATGAATTAAATAAGTCTATTCTTAAAAAAAAAAAAAAAGGCTTCAATAACATGGCATGCCAACTAGGAGAAAGTGAAACTTTTGAAGTGTTAAATATATTTGGAGGAAAATAATGATAGTTGAGTGATATTTTGGTCTGAAATAAAACATAAATGATATTTCAAGGCAATTCCCTAAACTTGGGTGACTATTTAGGAAATTAACAGTAGTGAATTACTCTTCAATTACTCTTTTAACTAAGGAAATCAGTTACAAACATTTAATTCAAATGGACAAAACATGTATCTAGCCAACGAAATCTTGTACAAGAAGTAATATTCGAAACTATCTTAGATACTAGTAATTATGACATAAACTAGTGCGAATTTTGTTGTTTACTCAATTTTTATGTGAAGTCGCTAGAGGCCCATGTAAGTATTAAAAATTTATTGGATTGAAATTCACAAATTAATTTGGACTATATTAAATTCAAGAAAATAGTCCAAATAATGTGGCAATCCAAATAAACTAAATGAGCCACTAAAATCACATCACATGTCAAAGTTATGTGGCAATCCAAGTCAAATAAATGAGCCACTAAAATCACACCACATGTCAAAATTATGTGACAATCCAAGTCAAATTAAGAGTTTGTTTGGATTGACTTTAAAAAGGTAGTTTTTAAGTAAAAAATAAAAGGGAAAATGCATAGGTACCACCCCAACCTATGCCCGAAATCTCAGAGACACACTTATACTATACTAAGGTCCTATTACCCCTCGAACTTATTTTATAAATAATTTTCTACCCTTTTTTGGCCTACGTGGCACTATTCTTGAAAAAATTGTCAACACACGCTGGATCCACAAGATAGTGCCACGTACGCCAAAAGGGGTAAAAAATTATTTATAAAATAAGTTCGAGGGGTAATAGGACCTTAGTATAGTATAAGTGTGTCTTTGAGATTTCGAGCATAGGTTAGGGGTTACTTATGCATTTTCCCAAAATAAAAAGTCAAATTGAAATGACTTTTGAGTCCAAAAATAAAAAGTAGGAGGAGACCTACTTTTGGTTTCTGACTTATTTTAAGTCATTTTTCACTTATTTTAAGTCATTGTTTACCTTGTCAAACACTTCGTAACTTATTTTTGACTTATTTTAAGTTATTTTTTATGTTTGTCAAACACTTCCAGAAATAAAAAACTGACTTAAAAGTATGTTTGACCAGCCCGTTTGGATTGGTTTAAAAGTCGGTCAAACATACTTTTACGCCAGTTTTTAACTTGTGAAAGTGTTTGACAAATATAAAAAATGATTTAAAATAAGTTACGAAATGTTTGGCAAAGTAAAAAATGATTTAAAATAAATTTATCTTCTTGATCCAGCTGCTGCTGATTCTGTTGTTTCCACCTCTGCAATGGTGAAATTGAGGATCAAATCTCTTATGGCCAAAATGTCGATTCCACATATTTCTCTGGTTCAATTCTGGTCACATATCCAGGTCAACGGATCGACTTTCCTGTCCACTGTGGATCAACTATTTGTTTTCAATAAGGAACTTGATAAGAGGCTTTCTTCATACAGGAGGCTCTGTCTCGATACTTCCCATTGACTACTACAAGGAAGCTCTAGTTGCCCCCCCTGTGCGAGTTTTCAGAAGATGGTTGCCAGAATATAACCAGGACGTCAAAAGCTACTCCGCTGCAGAGTTTCCACTGCTTCAAACTGCAATTCGCTTGGGATTACATTCTTATTATGCATTTCCACTCCTCAAACTCCCTGATTAGGGGTGCCTTGGTGTATTTGAGATTGTATCTACACAACCATCTCTCCGTCTTCCCAACCTTATTAAGGTATTTGCTAATCTCTTGTTTCATTTTATTTTTAGAATGCTCAACGACATTGGTTATTCACTTTTGTTTATATTTCGTTTGAACAAGTCGATAATCCTTGTTTAATTTTCCATCATAGGGGTTGAATTTTGAATCAGTTGGGTTGTACATTCCTAACCCAATAAACATACTTCTTGGACTTTTAGAGGTAGATTGTTGTTGCCATCTTTATTTTGGCGAATCTAAACAAAATAAATGAAAGTACATTCCTAATTTCATAGCTTATGTTATCATTTTTATAGCAGCCGGTTGAAGAAAGACTTGACGAAATAGAGGGGTTATATGAGATCCTTGAAAGACATGGTTTACTCTTTGCTCAAATTTGGATTCCTTTTTCTCCATCTGGCTCTTTAAAATTCTTGTATTGTGCTGCTGCCTCCAATCAATAAACATTTGAGTTCAATGTATCATGATGTTGAATATGCTTCTGGGGTCTGTTTTATTGAGAGTGGTAAGGTGTTGGTTGGGAGGGCATTTGCATCCCAAGGTTCATGCTTTTGCAAAGATGTTACTAAATTAAGCTTCAAAGAGTACCCTTTGGTGCCTAGTGCACGAAAAGTTAGATTCACTCAGAGTTTTGCAATTTTTTTGCAAAGTAAATGCGCCAACGATATTGTTTACGTAGTAGAGTACTTTCTGCCCCCAACAAAATGTTTGCTAGAGATGCAAAGACTTTCTTAAACTTTCTTTTATCCACAATGAACGAACTACTTCCAGGTTTCATAGTTGCTTCTGGAGATGAACTAGGGCAGAGGATGCTTGTTGAAGTTGTCAGAGTTTCTCCGAGAGATGAACTTGACTCCTTTGAAATAGGCAAACGTCTGCCAAGTGTTCAATCACTTCAGGATGGAGGAGAAACAACAGAAATTGATTCTTTCTATCAACAGTCAAATTTACAGAACGGGGAGAATAATGGTGCTAATGCACCACTGGTTTCTTCTTGTTTATCACACAAGTGTGACTCACTCAACTGTGAAAGGACAGTCGAAGTTGATCTGTTACTTCGTCATCCAATAGGTGAAGCTGTGAAAAATAGAGGAAATGCAAGTGAGGATACAAGTGAAATGATGCAACTTGATTCACACTTTGAGCAACCAAATTTAGAAATTAATTCTGCGGCAAATGCAACGACTAACAACGACAATAGCCATTCACATAAGAACAACGCAATACAAAGGATAGAAAAAGATCATGGGATTACTCGCAAGATTCTGGAGCAGCATTTTGGCATGATTCTTCAAGATGCTGCCAAAGATCTACGTGGTAAGTTCACTAACTTGAGCGCATTTGAGGTTCTTAATTCCTTGTGTGTTATTATATATATCGACGCTCCTATGCCTTTAACCGAAATGATTTATGCATAGGTTCACTGAAATCCCTTTTGTGGACTTCTTTTATTGCAGTTAGTCGAGCAACACTGAAACGAATATGTAGAGAATATGAAATCTCTAGATGGCCACATCACAAGACTAGAAAGGTTAATGTCCATGTTAGCCACGGCGTATCTTTTCAAGGTGCTGAACCATATGTGGGTGATCACCATTGTCCTGCTCTTTCCCAAGAAAAAGGCACCGAATATTTGGGTAACAAGAACTTTCCTGCAACAGGAAAATCTTGTGATAGTGTGATGATTTTAAATGTTACATATAGAGGTGATATTATAATGTTTCAACTCTCCCTTTCATCAACGAGGGTAGAATTGGAGGGGGAAGTGGAAAAGAGGCTTAAGATATCACTTGAAAGGTTTTCAATAAAGTATCAAGATGAAGATAACGATTGGATTTTGATAACTACTGATTCAGATTTGAGGGATGTGATGCATTCACTAAGATCGTTGGGAAGGACTACTATGAGATTACTGGTTACCCTAGAAGCTGACACATGAAAGATTTTCCGTAAGTTTTGTTATTATGGTACCTTCCCTGCTGTGTTGTTACATGTCTTTGTACTCAATGATTAATACTGTTAAATGGGCATTTGTCAAATTACGAAAGATGCCTATATATAGAAGAGTAAAATAATCATAGGGCTTATGATATGAGTTATGTCATTTTCTTTTGATTAGCTATTTTGTATTTTCTGTTTGTTGTTTGATTACATGAACAACCTGTTTGTAAGTTCCTTTGATGATCAATACAAAGCTTAATTTGTTACATTATTGTTCCTACTCCATGCCTATCTGCCCTGTTACCATGCTCGATGTTCAGTTCAATACCCTCTTTTAATCAGTGAAGGTGATGCAAGGGTCATTCTAGTATTGTCTCTTCCATTTGCAGTATGCTATCACCACTGCAGGAGGAGATGAAATCGGACTCCACGGCTTCAGAGATTTCAGATGACTATCATCTCTGTGTGAGAGTCAGCTTACAATGACAGTAACACCGGAGGTGGCTGATATCGTGAAATCACATCAGGACTCACAGTTTCCTGTTCTTGTTGCTGGAGAAACAATAGGAGCTTGACATGGAGTTTGACCTCAAGGTGTTCGATGTCAAGCTCCTTAAATTGTAGCTAATGAACCGGCTACCAAGACACTATTCATATCCCTTTATTCATACTTTTTTTTTTAATAAAAAAAATGAGATGAAAATACTCTTTGCCCAATTATTTGCAGGAAAGATAATATAATTGCACCTAATTAAAGTTTTTTAGTAAATAATTATAATTGAAAGAACATAGGACAAGTGTTTTTAAATGATTAATACAAATTGTCATAGAGTTACTTGTTTTTTGAGATCAAATTTACCAATATCATTGAAATATTTCAAAATACATTCAAAGTTTAAATATGGGAAGAAAGTAACATTTCTTTAGTAGTTTTGATTTTTACTTCACTCATGTTATAGTTTCTAGATTCCATAATGTGGAATTATAGTGAATATGTGGTTACTTTTTATTGTTGTTATCATGTTAAAGTTATCAGTATACACAATTTCCTAATTAATTAGTTAAATATTTTCACGTAGTTAGAATTCCTTTTTTGTTTAACTAGTCCTGGGAATGTGCATTGCACGTTTGTCCCCTAATTGGCATTAGAAAAGCTAATTTATATAATTATAGTGGAGTCTACATAAATTCATCGCTAAGTTCAAAGCTAAGTCCTTCTGTAGGTAAGTTTGACATAAGAATATAACTCTTCACAAAATATAGCATGAAAATCTTGTGACAGATGTTGGAGGCTTGATATTTTCAATACTTCACAAAAAATAAACCTTTTATTATATCAGAAGAATTAATATATTTTAATTACTAAACGTCAGTTTTAATAATCCAAAAAGAAATTGGCTATAAAAAGACACGTATAAAGAAAAATATTATAAAATGTCTAGTTGGTGTAACATCAAATCTATAAAAAAAAATACAAGTTCAAACAGAAAAGAAAGAAAAGTAAATAAAGACATGACATCCATAATAAAAGACATCACATTAAAATATATAGACAAAATATTGTCATATTGATTGAATTACACTTGTTAGAAGTCGACTTGCTATAGACAAAATGTTTCATATGTATAAAAAACTGAAATCATAAAAAAAAAAACAAAATAGAAAGCATGAATATGTTAAAAATACAGATACACTATATTTCTTGAACTATATATATTAAAGGATTTGTATATAAAGAATTAAATATGAAATCTAATACAATAAAATTCAATGTAACATTTCATTTAGTCATCTTTTTACTTTACATTATTGTTTATTTTATTTTTACTTTTGCACTAATTTTTGTATCTCTCTGTAATAGTTAAGTACATGAATTTTCTAAGCATTTGAGATTACATATAAAAAGGAAAAAGTACAAACATGTTGTTTTAAAAAGATAAATGATTATCAAACAACGAAGAAGACATAACCATTAATGTTTATAAAAAACTTACTCTTTTACGGGTCTAGTTGTAAAAATATTCTATGGGATTTAACATGCTTACTCTCAAAACAATTAATTATAAATATAAATTGGCCTTTATTATATTTATATCCTAAAGATAGAAGAAAGGAAGAATACAAAAAAATAGTAATCAATTACGAAGTTGTATTTAAAAACTTAAAATGATGGAGATATGAAAAATAACAATTCATTTACAACTTCATATTGAAAAATATTCATCTTGTAACTATGATAATTTACATATTTCTCAACAAAAAGATGAATATGCATGAAATTTTAAACAACATTGATAAATAAATCAGTAAGAAATCTTATAATTACAAATTGATAATGAAAATTTTACATATAGACTAACCTAATGTAGAATGCAAGATGATCACAAACTTGAATGAAAGAAGGGAATATAAATAATGTTGTGTGAGTGTCTTTGTGTTGGGTGTGAATATTGATCTGCTCAATAACGAAGACAAGAAGTACAAAGAGTACTGGGCTTGCACACACAGATCCAAATATCTTATCGGTTATTTGGTCTTTTGGGCCTCAGTTGGTTAACGATCTTAGCCAACAGTGGGCTGAAGTATTATAAACTAACCTACTTCTACAAGTTAACTACAAATAGGACAATACATATAACTTTAGGATTGTACAAGGCATTGTACAATTGAAAAGATCAATCAAATATATAAGAAAAGTTCCGCATATATCTTTTGTTTTCTTACATGGTATCAGAGCAGGTTTGAATACCTCTCGATCATTCTTTTTACTGTGTTATTTTGTTTTCACAATGAGCACTGATTCACAGGCTAGTAGTCAGTCCACTCCAGCTCTTCCTTCCAATACCGCTGAACTTTTTCCTTCTACTAATCCCACTGGATCTGCCATGACTAATGTAGTGGATCAAACACATCCATTTTATCTCCATCTATCGGACTATCCAGGTATGACTCTCATTTCTTCTGTCTTTGATGGCAAGGCTTATGGAGCATGGAGAAGAGCAACAGTGATAGCACTTTCAGCAAATAACAAGTTGAGATTCATTGATGGATCCTTGTTAGTTCCCAACACTGATCCTTTGCTTCAAAAAACATGGGCCAGATGCAATGATATGGTCCTTTCATGGCTCCTGAATTCTCTTTCCAAGGAAATAGCTAAGAGTGTGTTATATTCTCATACTACAAAAGATCTTTGGAAAGACTTGGAAGATAGATTTGGTGTGACCAATGGAGCAAAACTGTTTCAGCTACATAAAGAATTAAGTGCAGTTAGTCAAGGTAATTCTAGTGTATCAACTTATTTCACAAAAATGAAGAGTTTGTGGGATGAGTTAAATGCACTAAACACTTACTCTTCTTGTATTTGTGAGTGTGAATGTGGTGCTAAAATAAACAATACCAAAGCTCATCTGACGAAAGATTGTTGCAGTTTTTGATGGGTTTAAATGACATTTTTGATGGGGTCAGAAGTAATATTCTGTTGTCGGCTCCTTTGCCTAACATTGGGTAGGCCTACTCTTTTGTTATCCAAGATGAAAAACAAAGGGAAATACATGCTACACCTGCTTATCCAGGTGATTCAGGATCTTTCATAGTTGCTAATTCAGGAGAAAGGAAGTACCCTGACCTCAAGGCACAAAAAGGAGGTAACTCAGGATATGATGGAAAGAAGAGCAATGTGATATGTGCCTACTATAAGAAGCCAGGTCACAGTGTGGATAAGTGCTACAAGATCCGTGGTTTTCCTGCTGATTTAAATTCACAAAACCTAGAAAATTTCAGGGCAAATCGCAAGGAAGTGCAACTTTCAACTCAAGTGTTTACAATCAAAGTGAAGGATTTACTCAAAGAGACACAAATGCTCCAGAAGTCCAAGCTCTCAGTCAGGAGAACATAACACAAACATTGTAAATGCTTCAGCAGATGGAATCAAATCAAAATGCAGGAGGATCTGAAGGAGCGGTAAATCTCAGTCTTTCTGGTATGTCCAAGTTCTTCAATTCTTATGCCTGCTTTATTGAAATTGATAACAATTCTTGGATATTAGATACTGGAGCGACTGAGCATATGACCTATAATAGGGAATTCCTTTCAAATGTTAAAGCTCTTCCTAAACTTGTCATGGTAAACTTGCCTAATTCCTATAGAGTCAAGGTTACTCATGCAGGAACAGTCACGCTAATGTCTAATATGATTCTGCACAACGTTTTGTATATACCTTCTTTCAGATTTAATCTGATATATGTGCATAAGTTTTGTGTTCAACTCAGGCATTCACTCCTTTTTACTCCTTATTCTTGTTTTTTGTTTCAGGGCCCTTCTCTGAAGAGCCCTCTGGAGATTGGTAAGGAGCAAGGGGGACTCTATATCCTTAACACAAGACAATCAACAACAGTTCCTTCAAGCCAATTCAAGTTTTCAATTCGAGCAAGAAGTCTAGTTCTAGTTTAGCTACAAATTCTAGTTTTTAAGAAATCTGTTTCAAATGCAATTTTAATCATGTTTCAGTTCTTCATCTTCAAATGTAACAGAAAAACTATGGCATATTAGATTAGGACATATGCCTTTGAGCAATATGAGAAATATTTCTATTATCTCTTTTCCAGTATCTTCTAAAAATTTGACTCCTTGTGTTGTTTGTCCCATGGCGAGACAATCCAAACTCCCTTTCCCATCTAGCACAATATCTAGTAAATTAACTTTTGAGTTAATTCATGTGGATACATGGGGACCTTATAAACATGCTACTAATCATGGCTTTAAGTATTTTCTCACAATAGTTGATGACTTTAGCAGAGGTACTTGGACCTACTTGCTAAGTTCTAAATCTAATGCCTTCACCATTTTGAAATCCTTCCTTACCATGGTAGAACGACAATTTGACAAGAAAGTAAAGAAAATCAGGTCAGACAATGATTTTGAATTGGGAAGTGGGAAAACACATTCAGAATTTTTCCAATCCTTAGGTATTATCCATCAAACAACTTGTGTGTCCACCCCACAAAAAATGGAATTGTTGAGCAAAAACATAAACACCTATTGGAAACTTCCAGGTGTCTATTGTATCAGTCTCACCTTCCTATTCACTATTAGGGAGACTGTCTTTTGACAGCAACGTATTTAATTAATAGATTTCCCTCCAAAGTCATAAATCTCAAAACACCATATGAAATACTTTTCAACACCAAACCACAATATTATCATCTTAGAAGTTTTGGTTGTTTGTGTTTTGTTTCTACCCTTTCAAATAAAAGAAGTAAGTTTGATCCAAGGGCGGTTCCTTGTGGGTTTTTGCGGTATCCACACGGCAAAAAGGGCTACAAAGTTCTTAGTCTTAAATCTCTATAGTGTTTCGTGTCACGGGATGTTGTCTTTCATGAGTCAGTTTTTCATTTTTCCTCTATCAAGTCCTATGTTCCTACTGATTCCTTATTTCCTACTGCTAACCAACACACGCTGGCAGATCCTTCATTTGATGTCTTCTCATTACCTGCGGATGATCTTGTCTCTTCAAATGATCCCATCATACAATCTACACCTTCTCCAACTATAGTTCCTGATTATTCGCCTCAACCAGAGCCTACTTCACCTATTCCCTCTATTAGTTCTTCACAACCTACGATGGTTGATGTCATAAGGCAATCCAATAGACCACACA